AATATTTATAATAGAGTTGCAGCATCACGTGAATTGATAGCTTCATATTTGTTCCCTATCCATTTTTTTTTAATTAAAAAAAATAAAATTTTAAATAAGTATAAAAATGAGAATAGCTACAAGTGTTGAGAACAAGGAGTTTCTATTGCTGATGATGCCTTTTGCTTCCACATTATGGGTCGGGTAGGTTAGAGGTTCAAATTCTATCTTCTTGTAAATTTCAAGTTCAAGAGGTTAGAGGGTCAAATTCGTCATTCCCATAAAATTCACTTTGTTCGAGAGCTTAGAGGTTCAATTCCTCCTTCCTATAAAATTCAATTTGTTCAAGAGATTAGTGGTTCAAATTCCTCCTTCCCGTAGAATCCTTCCCGTAGAATTCACTTTGTTCTGGAGGTTAGAGGTTCAAATTCCTCCCACCTATAAAATTCACTTTGTTCGGAAGGTTAGAGGTTCAAATTCCTCCCTCCCGTATAAATTCACTTTGTTCGAGAGATTAGAAGTTCAAATGCGTCATTCCCATAAAATAGGTAAGAGCTTCAAATTGGTTTGAATTCACAACCTCCAAGTTTAATAATATATTAAATCACCATTAAGTAGAAGGTACGACTCTAGGAGAGATATTGAGCTTTTAGATGAGGAGGCTGCTATGGTAGATGGGGTAAGTTTGATGTTGTCATTAAGGCAAAGACTTTAAGAAACTGAAGTGATTAGTCAAAAGTGGGGGTAACCAACCTCGAGCTCAAGGTTCATCCCCACGAGCACGAACAATTATCTAAATTTGATCGGACGAATCGTCTCGATTCATCAATAGCTTAAGACTGATTTTCAACTACTTCAATAGGATCCGAACGAATGGCCGGTGGTCGAACCGTTGATAGCTTAAGACTGATTTTCAACTACTTCAATAGGATCCGAACGAATGGCCGGTGGTCGAACCGTTGCCATCCTACGGTCATGGAAGGGACACATCAGGGGGACGGTACATCAGTTTAATATTTGGAACAAATCTCACTGATGTTGTCATCACAGGTAAGCGTACCTCTGTTGGAGCTTGTCTCGTCTCATTTTTCTTGATCGGTGTCTGAACGTTTGAGTTTCACCTAATGTACATCAGGAAACAATGGCACCATTGATGGTCAAGGCGATCGCTGGTGGCAGCTGTTTCATCAGAATAAGCTTAAGTACACCCGACCATACTTGATTGAGATCATGTATTCCAGCGACGTACAGATATCGAATCTGACCCTGCTGAATTCTCCAGCTTGGAATGTTCATCCTGTTTACAGCAGGTANGTAAGCGTACCTCTGTTGGAGCTTGTCTCATTTTTCTTGATCGGTGTCTGAACGTTTGAGTTTCACCTAATGTACATCAGGAAACAATGGCACCATTGATGGTCAAGGTGATCGCTGGTGGCAGCTGTTTCATCAGAATAAGCTTAAGTACACCCGACCATACTTGATTGAGATCATGTATTCCAGCGACGTACAGATATCGAATCTGACCCTGCTGAATTCTCCAGCTTGGAATGTTCATCCTGTTTACAGCAGGTATAATCAATTAGTTATTCCATAGAGAAATATGTACAGAAATCCAACACTACATGATTTGATTCACTTGCAAATGTTCTACAGCAATGTTCTTATTCAAGGGATCACGATTATCGCTCCCGTCCGATCCCCGAATACCGATGGCATCAACCCCGGTTCGTATCCCAAACCAACTTTCTCAAAACGTATACGTCTTTCAATACCAATGACTCACTTTATTCTGCAGATTCCTGCACAAATGTTAGAATTGA